GTGTGTGGCCTGCCTAAAAGCAGGCCAATATATGGACCAGTGCCTCTCAATCATGGTCCTGCATGTTTTAGGTATTTCGCTGCTGCCCCACACATCTACGGCGTACACTTTAGGACTTTCTAAGGTGTCACGAAAAATATTCTTAGGTTTCAGTATTAAACTAATCAGGTCAGGCATAATTTGGTTCAGAAATCTATCAGGATATATTCTGGGGAACCAATAGAGATTGCTCCAAAGTTTTTATGAAATTTCAAAAAGATTGGTCCTGATCGACAAGGCAAAGATCATTAGAGCATTGCATCTGGCAATAAATACAAGCCATGCATTCACCCAGCAGGGCCCACTAGTCCAAGTGTTGACTCCACTTCTCGCCTGGTGACAACTAGGAGAAGATCCAATCCCTTGTGATCTTTAACAGAATAAAACTGCTACAAAAAACAGGGGATTAATTGGACTCACAGATGGAGCATCAGCATCAGGCGGCCTTATCAACTTACATGGATTGTAATTAAATTAACTTGTAGCATCACCCAGGACATTTTCAGCCTCGAAGCTATGTGGGTGGAGAGCAAGAATTTGCTGGTGATACATTATGAGCAAATCAAAATTGTCCCGGGAAACTCACAGTGGCCTTGTTTAGCCACGCATATACATGTATATCACCTTCTTTATAGATCTGAGGCCTAAAAATAAAAGTTTACAAGCTTTGTTTAGTAACAAAATATTTGCTTTCTGTTAACCTGATGATTGCTTTAAGTATAGTGGAGGATTTTCACAAATTTGAAAAGACCTGCCTTCTCCACTTAAAAAGAAAAATCACATGCATAACCCTGTACCCACTCTTGAGAGGGAATGCCTATTAAACAAGTGCGAGAGCGTGCATGGGCCCATTTCTCCTTGTGCACGCTCTGTTTAAAAGATGCTGTTTGCATCGCTCAGACAACCTTGCTTTCCAAAAGATTTGCAATTTTACCACAATGTCAGACTCACCACTGGTAAATGAAAATGGGGACGGACGTGTAGGACGACTTTATGTAAACATATCACCAGAATGATTGACAATTAGAAGGACCACTTATTTTGATGATCCGCCCGGAAAAAGAAAATCCTTGACTATACCATTAAGTAAAAAAGGAAGCACTGAGAACTCATCTCTGTTTCTTGACTTCCAGGGGGTAAACCTGTGTTTCCCCACAAAGAGCAATAAATTAACAGTTGCATAACTCATTTAACACACTTGTTAAAGTATTGTACAATTTATATCAAGTTTATTTAAAAAGTTACTACAAGGATTCACTGCTGGCTCCTCCCTCTGCCACTACTGCAGGCATGATGCCAGCAGCAGGATTAACAACATGCAGCGCCACAAAATCAGCAGATAGAGTGTGTGTTAAACACACCTATAAGAAGCCTGTTCATGGGTGTGCAGGTGGCGCAGTGGTTAATGCGCATGATCCATGTACGTCGGCCTTAGTCCTCAACGCGGGTGACCAGGGTTTGAATCTGGCCTGTATCTCTCCCCCTCTCTCATACCCCCTTTCCTGTCAACTTACTGTTGAAAAAATTAGCCACTAGTGCCATAAAAACTTAAAAAAAGAAGGTATAGTTGAAACCTAAAACTGACTGTAATGTGTAGAAGCACAGATGCCTGTACAGACCATTAAAAGGGGAAGGGAAGGGTTGTGCTGTGGGAATGAGTTTATAAAGAAAAGAGGAATTTTAAAATTTATACATCAGCAAAGGGAATTTGCCTCACAAAAAAGAGACCCATGTAATTAAAAATAATCTGGGGAACACAGAAGGAGCAGTGCTTTTTCTGGCCTAGAGTTTGAAATAGGCTTAAAGTTCTTTGTCTATGTGAAAATCAAATTATGCATTCTAAGAAGGGAGCCAACAGTGAAAGTGCTTTAGTTTGGTAAGAAAAGTGGGTGGTAGAAAAGAGACATTTCAAAAAAGTTTTCTATGCAACTCCTTCAACTGTATAAAGAAGCAAATTCAAAGGCAGGGAAGCTCAGCAGAAAAAGCCCTGTAGGGAAACGAGAGGGGAAGCCTTCAGAACGGAGGGGTGGAGTGTTAGGTGCGTGTAGCGTCATGCCGTGCTGTCTACTGAAGAAGAGGCAAAAGGAGAGATCAGAGCTCAGTTGGAAAGAAGCAACCTAGCATCAATCATTCCTAATCGTTTAAGTAACAATCTGAAATGCAGCATTTCTTATAAAAACTCCACCTATAGCCTGTTTGTACATGCTTCAGGAATAGCTGTTATCGTCCGGACAAATCTATCCTAAAGAGAAATACATTTGGGGGTTGGCTTTACGTATTAGGAAACAACTAAAGCGTATCAAAGTCTGGGCTGGCTTCAAATAAGGGATCAATACCCCATCAATACTGACAGAGAACAACTAAATAAACAAATTAACATGTGGCTTTAACTCTGCGTATTCTGCTCCTTTTCATCATTTATAAAAAGGCACACCTTAGAGAGTTACTCGCAGCTTAATTGAAGCCGTTCAGGTCCAAGTTTAATAAATTGAGGCTAGATTTTTCTTATTAGTTGTTTCCTGCACTGACATTCTCTACTTTAAATCACAATTTTGGTTAGTGAATCAGCATTGTAAGCCAGAAATGCTCTGAGAAAAACAATAGCAATCCCCAAAGGTTTTAGGTAAAGTTGGAAAGCAAGAATAAAAGCAGGTACAAAGCCGACACACAGCCCTTATCCACTGAATCACTGAGCTGCCATGTGGCATACGCACACATACACAAACATCTCATTGATGGAGTAAGGGGACAGATGGAGCAGTGTTTTGGCTATCAAAGTGTGCTCAACAACAGTGTCTTAGCAGAGTTATCAGAGCAGTTTTGTGTTCCATGCAAAGCCTAAAAAAAAAACTTCTACAGCCCACTGTTCACATGCCTTGAAACCTCTGCAAAGTTTATTTTCTGCATGCATGCATGCATTCATTGAGGATACTATTTTTAAATTTCTAGTGATAGATCTGATCAGAAAAAAAGAAAAACAAAAAAAATGCATATGTCTAATTCTCCCCCAACTAGACAAAAAACAGTAATGTGTATATTTAGGAAGGTATCAGGCCTAAAAGTAAAAAAAAAAAAAAAAAAAAAAAAAAAAAA